AGATGGCTCTGTCGATGTCAATTAGAAGATCTTGCGATCTCACTTTTCCTTTAAAAAATGGGAAACGCTTATTTTACACTAATGCTATCAATATAAACATTTTTATTTTTGTTTTAAACATTATGATTACTATATTGTTACTGACATTACTAACAGTAGTATTAAATAATAGAAAATATCGAAAATCACGGAAAAGGGTAAACAGGTGAGACAGGTAGTTCGCGTAATTGGCTCATTGGTGACAGTACTTATGGAGCCATCTACATGTAAAACAATTACTACATTCAACACACACAATGGGCAATGACATGTACGTACATACCATGCCGCCGGGCATGTACCTATACATGTATATATACATGTGTATGCGTGTGTATGTACATGTGCATATGCATATGCATATGCACATGCACATACACACGCATACACGCGTATATATACATGTATAGGTACATGCATATGCACATGCACATACACACGCACACACGTGTATACATACATATATAGGTACATGTATATGCACATGCACACACACACACATGCACGTGTATACATACATAAATAGGTACATGCGTATGTACCAAAATAATCTTTTAATTTCAGTCTTTGTTTCTTCCATTAGGTATGCCATATGCACTTGATGGCCGATGTCACCGGCCTCAAGCACCATAGGACATCGAGGCAGCATGTGTCCCTGGAGGAGAGGCAGCGGACATCCAGCCGCAGGCAAGAGAGTGCCACCCCGAGGAGCACCCTGGCGCAGATGAAGAGCAAAGGAGTTTCCCTAGTGCTGTGCAGCCTGCAAGACTGCTTTTCATTTTGTTTTTAGCGGAGCACAACTTGCCATTCAGGTAATATATAGTGTTATGCAATTCACTGATAGTAAAAAGTTTATATACAATGGAGAAATTTCAAATGCGTTCACCATAAAATATAATTATTGGTACATACTTATTATTCTGTTTAAATGTTTATTTTTCCATCTTTTCAGTTTTTGCGATGACCTGGATCTGAACCAGAAAATGTTCCCTGATTCGACCATCGCAGCCCAGATGGCCCTCAATAGGAAGAAATGTTCCCAACTAACAAAAGTTTTAGGGGTATTTCTTGCCAAATAATTTGCAAAGTTACAGCTCACTAAATTTAGTCAGATCATTGATGAGACGACCGACTGCACCACCGACAAAGCATGTGCCTTAGTTGTCAAGTATTTTGACAAAGAAACCAGAACAATTTAGACGGCCATGCTAGACATCATCAATTTATGGGGGGAATGATGGGTCGTCAGGTGTCTTTATTTAACCTTCTAACGAAAACCCTGAATGCCTAACAGATCCCTCTCTCAAATATGGTCGACTTTGCTACTGACGGGGGCGCCCCATCAAATGTCATGGGTTCTATAAATTCTGTGAGCAGCAGACAAAAAGCGCCCATGCCTGGGATTACAATCTTTAAGAGTGTAGCTCACAGCATACATTTATGTAGCAGCGAAGCAGCTAAAACGCTTCCCCGAACCTGCGAAGAATTGGTACAAAATGTGTACAGCTTTTTCTTCCATAGCGCATTTTGCGGTTGAAATTCTAGCACTTCCAACATCTAACAATGATGTGGAAAGACTCTTTTCAAAATCAAATAAAAAGGAAAGAAAAGTCAAATCTCAAATTGGACACAATAATCCCTTTTATTTAAGTGAATATGCTAAAATGAATATGAAACCATACGAAGATATGGTTATGCTTATATAATTTGTTTTTACAGATGTATCGTTATAGATCTTAATTTCATAGTGTTGAAGTTTTTTCAATGTAAATGTTTTTGGTGTGGGTGATATTTTGTTAAAATAAATCTAAAATGAATTTGTTTTCATAGCATTTTACTGTGTAATATACTAATTACACGTTCCCGTTAAACCCCCTTCCCCTCCCCAATAATTCGTAAACTTAATCATAAAATAAGTATTCTCCGTATTTTGTGGTGTTGGTACATGCAGGAAGGAATAGTCACTGAAAATGTTTTTTGTGGGACGAGTGATATGTTATGAAATATGATTAATTAATAAATTGTTAAACAGTAATTAAATAATGATCATCCTATAAAAATCCAGCCAGTCAACCTTGTCTGAAATATATAGATAATTACGTGCTCGTTTAGTAAATTCTATTCATGGTAAAATAAGATATGTATACACAAGAACATATTAACCAATACATTGAGCATCAGCAGAAACACGAACACGTAAATTATTGAGCGGAGCAATGGTTAATGAAAATGGTAGATGAATGGATTATCTAATGTGATAACATGGTCAGTAAATATATCTGATAATCGAAAACGGAGTTGAAAACAAGAGGTCAAAGCTACCTTTCAGTATATTATTACCGCGTCGGGTGCACACTAGACGACGACGCTACATGGCCAATTGAAGAAATACAAAATTAAATAAGTGGCATTTTACCTATTCGGCGATGGGTCGCGCACGTGTTAAGCTGAACGGACCGGT